ACTCTGTGGCTCCATGCTGCACAGCCCAGGTCCTGTACTGAGCCCCTTCTCAGCTCATGGACGCACAGGCCGGAAAGCTTGCTGGCCTCGGGAGTGCGAGTAGCCTCAGGCACTGGGGGGACCCCCTGGGCACAGCCAGTGCACAACCAGCTGTGGTGATGTGGCAGTGGCCCAGGCAAGGGGAAGAAGCTTCGGCAAAGCAATGGCAATGCTGGCCCCATAAGTATGCACCCCAGGGAGAGAGCCTGATGGAGAGCCGTCACCATTCATGTAACAGTCTTGGGCCCCAGGAGGACAAATAAGAATGGAGCGGGGTGTCTGGACACTGACTCTAGTTCTGGGGGTGGCTGGCTTCTTTCTGTGTTTTATGGAAGAACTTGGCCTGGATCCAGGAAGTTCCCAGCTTCCTCCAAAATCAGGCAACATTTTAATAAAGACCTTTTTCCTCCCCCATTAATCTTTGTGTTATGCATGTGTACAGTGGCAGGCAGCCAGATCCCACTTTGTTCAGTAACAGTTCCATATAAATTTTTGTAACATTTGTTCTAGTCTGTGAAATATGTCATTGGTATCTTGCTAGGAATTGGATTCTGTAGATTGCTTTGGGTAATGTGGACATCTTAATGATGTTAATTCTTCCAATCCATGAACATGGTATATGCTTCCCCTTATTTGTATCTTCTTCATTTTCTTTCCTCAATGTCTTATAATTTTCCAAGTATAAGTCTTACATCCTTGGTTAAATTTATTCCTCGGCATTTTTAAAAATATTTTATTTCTTTATTTTTAGAGAGAGGGGAAGGGAAGGAGAAAGAGAGGGAGAGAAACATCAATGTGTGGTTGCCTCTCACATGGCCCCCATTGGGGACCTGGCCCACAACCCAGGCATATGCCCTGGCTGGGAATCGAACCAGTGACCCTTTGGTTCACAGCCCGAGCTCAATCCACTGAACTACACCAGCCAGGGCTATTCCTTGGTATTTTTTGATGTAATTGAAATGGGATTGTTTTCTTAGCTTCCCTTTCTGATAGTTCATTATTGGTGTATAAAAATGCAACTGATTTCTGGATATTTATTTTATATCTGGCTACTTTACTGAATTCATTTATCTGTTCTAGTAGTTTTTTTGGTGGGGGTGGAATCTTTAGGGTTTTCTATATACAATATCTTGTCATATGCAAATATTGACAGTTCCCCTTCCTTTCTGGTTTATTTAAAAAATATATTTGTATCTCATGTCTCTGCTGTATTCCCTCTATGTAATGCAAGACTCAGTAGCAGTACAGTGGCACTTTCTAATTGCCACCCTAGCAGGAGGAGGTGCCTAGCATTTGGATCTCGTCTTGCCTCCCAGGACTTGCCATTTACCTTGAACTCTTTATTTGTTGTTGTTTTTGTTTGATTGTTTTTCTTTATACATGACCACATCTACCTAAATTTAGAAAGAAGGAAAGACAAATTGCTAGGAGGTGAGAGAAATTGATCAAGGTGATTTGAGATTTGATATCATAATATTGTCAACATTTGCCTGGTAGTAGTAATGTAGAATGCCATTTTGTACTTGTTGAGAACATTGTGCTTTTTTCCTCCCTCCAAATCTTTGTGAGGGAAAAAGTTAGAGTTGTTTTTTAACTTAAGAAAGAAAATGAAAATAAAACATTAGGACAGCTACTGTAAATGGACTGTTTATACATTTGTCACTAGAAAACTATTTTTCGTTGAATAGTAGCTTGAAATTATAATTATTATAGTTTATGGTATTTATAACCTACTGTGGTTTTGAATATTGCTCTTAACACTGTAGTTAGTGACCCACTAGATTTTAATTGTTAGGACATTTCAGAGAATGTGAAAGTTTTGATTAAGCCTAGGACATATCCATTCTTGCTTTCCTCAAAATTGCAATCAGTGACTACTTAATGACAGCGAAATGCTTGAAAACAAGCTTTTAAAGCGTAGCTGTTACTAAAATACCATAATAACTACTATGTAAGTGATGGTTGCTTTTTTGCTGTAGAAACTTTGTGGTAAGAAGCTTCCACAAAATCCTTAAGAAAAATATAGTATAAAGTAATTGATAAATGGAAGATATATTTTAAAGTGGAATGTGGATGAGAAGTAGACACATGTAAAGGTTTGATGTGGTTATATTTATTTAAATTTCTTGGGTTGTTTTTGGGCTTTGCAGATCAGGTGGTTTTCTTTCTTGACGAATTATTTTTTAAAATATCATTTGTATACCTCTACAGTTTGCAAAGTAGTTTCTCTTTAAAAAAGTGGTATACCAAAACCCATTTTACTGCAAAATAAAGTTTGCACATTTGAGATCTGCAGTGTCAGGAAACAAACTGTGTATTCTAATTTCTAAATTACTAAGATGTGCTTCCAGCTGTCTCTGTTCACGTACAGCAGAGGCAGTCCCTGCAGAGCATTTGCCATTGTTTAGTACCGTTTGTCTCTGCATTTATTCAGTATTACCATCTTCTGTGATTTCTAGACCAGTGAGAGCATCCAGCAAGCTTAGACTTCCAAGCAGGAGCCCAAGTAAGCAGTGGGAAATGAAGCTGCTATAAAATTTTGTGGACAGTATATATGCAACATGCTTTTTAAAAATTATACATAATAAATGGGAAAGCAGGTCACACCTTATTTTTTATAAAGTCTTTTCTACATCCATCTTTCAAAAGTGTGCTTATAACTTGGTGATCAAAGTAGGCATTTAAAAATTGTGTGGTGTGGAAATAATTTTAACATAACAGTTTAAATAATTAAACACTCATATTTATTTCCATTTTCTATAAATGATAGGGATTTTTTAAAGGCCTATTAACAACTAAATATACTTTTGGTGATTACTCCTAATGGAAGGAACTATATGATTGAGAGACATATATGATACTATAGTTTTTGTTTATTCTCACCAAACTTTATGCCCAATTTTAGTTAGCAGATAAACTGTTTAGAGTTTGTTTTCCTTTGCCGACTACCTTACTGGTAAGTTACTTTAGGGAGCTGGAACACGTTTAGTTAACAATTTTTGGAAATAGAAAAAGGGGTAGAGAACATATGGCTTCTGCAATCTAAAAGAGAGAGAAATTCACTGTAGCTTAGGTAATTGAAAGAGTTTTTGTAAAATGTGTAATTGAAATGCTACCTTAAAAGGGGGCATGTGTATGGGCTGCCTCAAAACTTAACATTGAAATTAAAGATAAGATTTAAGTTATCAAATATTTATTATACACTTACTATAGATAAGAAAAAAACCCACTTAGGGAGCCTTAAGAATTTGGAATGAGATGATTGTTGTAACTGAACATTGGATATGGTTCTGAGAGTGTCCTCATGTTTGATAGTAAAAACATTTAAAAAATAGATTTTATGATTCTTTTTATTCAAACAAAGAGAATGTATAAGTTCGTGTAGAGGAAGCTTTTCAATATTCAGAATTATTTCTTAGATCTATATTGTATTCTCATTCTGACCTTGGGGAAATGGCAGAACAATACCATAGCATCTTACATGACTTAGCTCAACTACCCTATACTGTGACCTATGACCTAAAACATTATATGTAAATCCTTAATGATTAGCACAGTCATAATATACTTATTGATTTTTCATAGGATATTCATATCTATTATCTCACTTAAGCCCCTTCATTAGTCTTTCTATCATAAATCATTAAAGTGAATATATACATATACATATTAAAATATAAAAATGGTATATATAGCCATTTTTATATTTTATTTGGATTATTTAAGATAAATATTTTCATGATGGCAAAGAGGTAATTGATGGCTTTTATCCCCTACTATGTGTCAGGCTCTCTGGTATGCAGTTGTCATGTATTACCTCATTTAATCATTCCACTAACTTATAAAATAGGTAACTGTATTCCCATTCTAATGTGAGACCTCACTAGAGAAGTATGAAATGGACTTTGGAGAGTAGGAAGGAAGATGCTCGTTTATTAGGTGGAGAGACAGTAGTACTTGGTAAGATACTTTTTGATTGCGTGCTGTTTACTGAGAAAGGTAACAGAACAGAAGAATGAGGGTTATGTAAATGCTGGTGAGTTCAGTTTAGACATGTTGAATTTAAGGAAGGGAAACAGACTTTAAAGAAGGTGGGTACAGCCAGCAGTGGTGAATTTTGTGTTTTGTGTGTTTTTTGCCTTGAATTTCTTTTCAAGATTTTATTTATTTATTTTTAGATGAAGGTGTAGGGAGAGAGAAAGAGAGGGAGAGAAACATTGTGTGGTTGCCTTTCATGCGCCCCACCCCCAGTAGGTCCCCGCCCCTACTGGGGACCTGGCCTGCAACCCAGACATGTGCCCTGACCAGGAATTGAACCAGAGACCCTTTGGTTCACAGGCAGGCACTCAGTCCACTGAGCTTCACTGGCTAGGACTGCCTTGAATCTTACAGATATTTGTTAGGCACTTCTTTAAATGTTAATAACATTTAAATGTTGATTGTGTTTGTGACAGAATATAAAGAGATGTTGATGCTTTCAATAATTAGATAAATTTTGGGAGAATTTCACAGTTTGTGAACGTTACAGTTACCATGCTCTATGTAGGTAAAAGATGTGTTTTAAGCAAACTGAGAGATTGCATGAAACCTCTCTTACATTTTTATTATTTTTTGAAGATTATATTTATTTATTTTTAGAGAGAGGGGAAAGAAGGGAGAAAGAAGGAGATAAACATCAGTGTATGGTTGCCTTTTGTGCACCCCCAACTGGGGACCTGGCCCACAACCCAGGCATGTGTCCCAACTGGGAATTGAATCAGTAACCCTCTGATTTGCAGGCTGGCACTCAATCTACTGAGCCACACCAGCCAGTGCTAAATTTTTAAATTATTTATTAGATAAGCAAAGCTTTTTATTGTAAGAAAAAATAGAGTATAAAAATTAAAATGAAGAGATAAAACCAATAGTCCTACTGGGTTAACCATATTCTAATTTTTTTCCCTATTTGTTGTTTCTTTCAGAAATATGGCTACACACACCTTTCTGCAGGAGAACTTCTTCGTGATGAAAGGAAAAACCCAGATTCACAGTATGGTGAACTCATTGAAAAATACATTAAAGATGGAAAGATTGTGCCAGTTGAGATAACCATCAGTTTGTTAAAGAGGGTAAGGACTGTGACTGCCAACCAGTTTAAACCAGCAAGGAAATGAGAATTTAAATCTACCTTTAGAGTAATGAAAAAAATCAGAGTATTGAATTTTTCTATAGAAGATGATCATGGTGTTTAAGAGTGGGAACTCCACTTCCACATGGGAAGAAATTGGACAGTAACAAGCATTCTTTGCTTTGGTCTAGGATCAACTCAACATTCATATGTGTGCACTTGATCTCTTTTCCATTTTTTTCTTCTTTTTCTTCTTCTCCTCTTTTTCCTCCCCCTCCTCCTTTCCCTTTTCTGTTCTTTTGTAAACTTCCTTCCTTCCTTCCACTTCCTTCCCTCCCTTTATCCCTGTCTTCCATGACCTTCCTACTGTTGCCATTCTCTTAGTCTTGGGAATCTCCTTTTTTGGTGTTTGCATCACCATCTTCAAAATGAAATGCAAAGATTAACAGCTATCAAAGTGAAATATTTCCCATCTAAAAAAAAGATGCATTTTCATAACTTTCCACTTCTAGTCATTAATGAGTATTTGCACATGTAAGAAAAAGTTAAGGAGAAATGCAAGAATGGGCATAGCAAGGAATAGTTTAAACTCGATGGGAAAGAGATATATGAGCATCTGGATGGAATCAGAGAAACTTGAGGATGAAGAGTAGCTTATTCACACATACTCTTACCTCTTGTCTCAGAGACTGGAGTAATCTGCTTCTATTCCAGAGTAATAAATCTCCTTATTCTCTGGATGTAATGCCCTTTCTCCACTTTATAGCTAAGCATCATGAAAGACCAGTCTACACTTTTTACTTTTTCACTTTCTACTTGTAACCCTTTGTAGTCATGTTCTATGTCCATCTTCATTGAAACTATTCTTGCTGTTGTTACCAATAATTTATATCAAACACAGGGGATATTTTTGTCATTTTTCTTGTAGCATTTAACTCTGCTCACTGTCTTTTTGAAACTCGTTCCTTGTTTGTTCTCTGTGACACCATTTTTCTTGATTCTCTTCTGTTTCAATAACTACTATTTCTCAAGTCTCCTTTGATAAATCTTCTTCTGCAAGTTTCCTAAACCATATATTTCTCAGGGTTTTATCCTGGGTTCTCCTATTATTTTATATATTTCTTGCTGGATGGATTTAGTCATGCCTAAGGCTTTCCATGTGCTAATGGTGCCAAAATCTGTAGCTATAGTATGCTTTTGTTTTCTGAACTGCAGACCTACATTTCTAACCAACTACTAGGCATCCATCGGTATGTCTTACAAGTGTCCCAGAATCACCATGTCAGAGACTGAATGTATCATCTAAAGTGTGATCACCGTTATTTTCTGTCCTGCTTAATGGGTCTACCATCTCATCTACCCAGCTGCCCGGGCCAGAAATCTGGGTTTTATGCTGTATTTTTCAAGTCTGCCTCACTTTCCCACATTCATTCAGTGAGCAGATCCTTCCATTTATCTTTCTCTTAATCCTCTTCTATTTCATCTCTTTTCTTTATTACAACTGTCACCTTAGTTTAGACCCTCTTTTCTTCTTGACTATCACTAGAACCTCCTCCTAGTCTTTTTGCCTAAATCATTCTTGTCCCTTTCGAATACATCCTTCATGGTGCAGTCAGGATGACTTTTTTTTCCCTGAAAGGTGACATGAGCATATTCTTCTTTGCTTAAAGTTCCTTAGTGATCCTGTATAGCTTCCAGAATAAAAACTAGATCCTCCGTGTGGCATGATAAGTTCTTCATTATCTTGCCCCTCATACTTTCTGGTCACATCTCCCACCATTTTATATACATATCCTAAGATTCAGCTGTACCAGCTTACTTCAGATTCATCAGAGCTGTACACTTTCTCATTTCCGAGCCTTTATACATATGCAGTTTACACTGTCCGAAGTACTTGGACCCCTGCCTGCCCACCACTTCACTATTCAGGATTCAGTTCTGCCACCTCTTAGATAAAGCATCCAAATTTCCCAGGTAGTTTGTGCTTGCTTCTTTGTTTTATCATAGCAACCTTTTATGCCTCATCATAGAATTTAGCACATTTAATTACATATTTGTTATCCACTGGACTGTGAGCTCCCCAGGGGCCAGGTCCTTGCTCTTCATGTCCCCTGTGAGTTAGCCTTGAATAAATGTATGTTGAGTGAGTAGAATATTGACGAATCTCTTCGTATATCTTCCACTATCATAATTGGTATAGAAATGTTATAGCAGGGGCACAAGAGCATGCTGTGGAACTTTTGTGACTGTTGGAGAAGCTATATGCTGGAATAAAGCCAGCCCTCAGATAAAGGAATCAGGAGTCCTGATGGCCGTTGTTCTTGAGAAACTAGAAAACAGTTTGAGCATTTACGGGACCAGATATTGATTTGCGACGGAATAGAGGCTCCTCTGGACTTTCTCAAAGTCGCACATCTGTGCTTATCCCATGGTGACTGGTGTGGTAAGAATTTGGAGATTAGACATCTGCATCTCCCATTCACATATTCCCATGTTCTACTTAAATTCAGACTTGAGAAGAGGATAGTGAAATGTGCTCTTCTTGCTGTCTCTCTGAAGGTAGTGTTTTCTATGCTCCCTGTGTTTGGGGGTAGCCAGTGAGTGGCATTTAGGTTTAATTAGCTTCAATTAAAAGAAAAAAAAGAATATTGACTCCTTCACTTACAATTAATGCTAGCAATTGTTATAATTTTCCAGAGCTTTTTGCAATTGGCCTTGAATTATTGCAGAGAATCTTAGTGCCTTTAGATGCAGCATACATACTTCCCACCACAGCAGAATGCCTTGGGAAGAGGAGAGGGAAGTCAGGATAGGGTCTCTAGTGGCTGAAGCAAAGATATTGGTTAATACTTATTTTTCTCTTTTGCTGTTTAAAACTTTGTGGATGTATATGTTAAAGCAATATGTGCTTACTATAGAAAATGTAGAAACTACAAAAAATGTCTATGCCCATAAAGTGGGGGAAGGGTACACATCCATAATTCAACCAGCAACCATGTTAATACATTGGATCATTTTCTTTTAAGTCTTTTTTTCCTATTCATCCTTCACACTCTACTTAGGATTTAAAGAATAGCAATAAAACAAGCACCAGCTTGTTTATCCACTAACCTGCTTAAGAAATTGAATTTTGTTAATGTAGTATTGACCCTAAATCTTCCTTTTCCTCTAGGAAATGGATCAGATGATGGCTGCCAATGCTCAGAAGAATAAATTCTTGATTGATGGGTTTCCAAGAAATCAAGAGAACCTTCAAGGTTGGAACAAGACCATGGATGGGAAGGCAGATGTAGCTTTCGTTCTGTTTTTTGATTGTAATAATGAGGTAATACATATGGTCATCTGTCCACATGAGTTTTAAGCAACTTAATTGTCAGCTATACAGAAATACAAAGTGGCTTTTTGAAAATACATAGTTTATTGATTTTGGAGAGAGAGGAGAGAGAGAGAGAAACATTAATGTGAGAGAGAAACATCAGTTGGTTGCCTCCCATTTGTGCCCCAACCTTTTGGAATACAGGACGATGCTCCAACCAGCCTAACCTCACCAGCCAGGGCCAAAGTGACTCTTTGCTGATACTCACATTCTCTGTTGGCAGCAGTGTCTTTTTGAATTGGAACATGGGATGGACGGAACAGCACTGTCTTGCCGTTGGAGTGCTACACACTTAATGGCATCAGCAACGTGGACCTAAAATTTGCTTTTTTTTTTTTTTTTTTCCCCAGAAGAACAATTTGTCTTGTATTGTTTTTAAGTAGGAATTGACTTGTACAATAATGTTAGCTGATAAAGCTGCCCCCCATTACTTCTTAGGTATGAGCTGTTATCTTGCCTTAGGACGGTTGTTTACTGGAAAAGAATCACACATTTCTGGGAAGTTGAGAAAACTTCCTGTTTTACAGAAACATTTAAGTTGGCGATTTGTCTTCTCAGAGTAAAATGATCTTGGGGAAAAAAAGCAGGAAAGCATTCTTTTTCTTGATGGCACTTTTAATAACATACTTAGACATACCTTTGAATAATTAAATTAATTTCATGGAATCATTTAATTAAAAGGTCTGTTTCACACCTGTAAACTTCATTAAATTAATGCCAGCAGCCTGAAGGAGTAAGCATCTGAAGTGCTGGGCGTCACCTGCAAGGTGAAGGGTCACCGCTGATTGATTCCAGCCAGGGCACCTGCCCAGGTTGCTGGTGGTTGGGCGTGTAAGAGAGGCAGCCCTTCAGTCTCTTTCTCTCACATCAATGTTCTCTCCTTTTTCTCCCTCCTTTCCCCTCTCTCTCTTAAAAAAAAAAAATCTGAAGTACTGCCTTGAAGGAAATTGGCTGGTTGAATTGCAAATGTCCTCTGGTGGAAGGACTTGCTGAAGCCTTTGAGTTGTTTTAAAATGTAACTGTCTTCTTCCAGCCCCCAAAAATATGTTTTCACTTATTCTTCAAAGTTAACTTTAGAATGTTACCATAGCTTTATAACCAAGGAATGTTTATTCACAATTAAAAAGGGGTACTTTATTACAATGCAAATATGTTGATTTTTAAATATTTGGATATTTATGGAATTATTGAAAAGTAAGCAGAAATAGAACAAAGTTTGAGGCCTGTAATTCATACCTAATAAGTTAATAATAATATATCCTAGCTGGAACCGTACACATAGAGATCTTTTTATTGCGGTTTGAAAACTAATGCACAGGAAAAACTGAGTCATGAATGAATTCTTATTATGCTCTCTACTTACTTAACCTAGTTTATATAAATTGAACCACATGTTTAAATTTAAAAGGACTTTATATGTTGATTAATGAATTAGACACATTTGGTTTAATGCAGGTTTTTTCTTTAACTCTTAAAACTTTATTCTCTTTTCAGGTTAAAAGAATGGCAGATTCATATCTCTCCTTTTTATTTTGTCCTTTTCAAAAGAACTTTTAATTTATTGATCTTTTCAGATCTGTATTGAACGGTGTCTTGAGAGGGGAAAGAGCAGTGGGAGGAGTGATGACAACAGAGAGAGCCTGGAAAAGAGGTACTTTGCAGTTTTTGTACAATAGCCACCTTAGCCTCAGTTTGCAACTTGAGTAGCAGGCTAAACACTTGCCTCGTTTGGTCCAGAGAAAGAGAAAACGCCATGCTTAAATATGTGAAATGGCTTTACCTAAGATGATGGTGAGGGAATTGGTTGAGTCAGATCCAGTGTTTTCCTCTAAGCTTTCCTATAACATGTGGGAGGATGGCGAGATACGTAGAATCTTGCAATATTTCCTTTTTTTTTTTTTTTTTTTGCAGAATTCAAACCTACCTTCAGTCAACAAAGCCAATTATTGACTTATATGAAGAAATGGGGAAAGTCAAGAAAATAGATGCTTCTAAATCTATTGATGAAGTGAGTATCGCTAGCCTGCCTTAAAAAAAAAGTCAAGTAAAAATGTGATGGAGGGGTTAGGCAGGAGAAAAAAAAAATACTATGACAGAATAGTGTGCTTTTCAAGACACTGGAGACTAAATGAAAAATTAGGCTTTTTCCCCTTTTTGAGTAGTCTAAAATGGATTTTAAAACTTCAGATTTGTTCTTCCTAAGAAGTGAATGATTTATTAATTCCAAAACTCATTTCTTAAACACTGGAAAATGGGCACTTTGAGGCTGTGATTTGGACCATGATCATTTTTTAAAAGTCTATAATGTGAGTGGCAGGCCTTGTAGGTCAGGAGCCCCAGGCTGTCTTCATCTCTTCTATCGCAGAGCGCACGGCTCCAGAGGTACAGAGTTTCTGTGACTCAGCACTGCTGTCTCCCTCATGAGTCAACTGTGGTTTGCAGGCCCCCAGTGCCCAGAAACTATTTCTAGTGCCTTTTAATTCACCCAGTCTTTTCCTGATTCCTGAATCTTCTTCCTCTGGACCTTTCTTTTTTATTACGTAGTTGTTTCTGGTTTTTTATCCATTGCCACTTTCTATAGTGATGAGGTAATACATCAGAAAACTTACTGTTTCGGAATCAGAACTAGGAAGATAAGCCACTTATATCAGTTTTTGGTAGCTGATCAAGAAGTTTTGTCCTAAGAACACTAATAAAATTGAATGCATCATTTTCATAATTTTATATGTATTATTTATGGTGTTATGTTACTGTCTAAAGTAAAATAGATGAAACTAAGAAATACTAATATGTTTTTTAATGATCTATTTTGGAAATTAATGTAAAATTGATACATTTTAAGGCTATATGGTATTTTAACAATAACTGCTTTTTAAATTGTTACTCTCTTTTTCCTTTACAGGTTTTTGATGAAGTTGTGAAGATTTTTGACAAAGAAGGCTAACTCTAGACCTGAAAGCATCCTTGAAATCATGCTTGAAATATTGCTTGGATAGCTGCTATCACAATCCCTTTTTAAGTCAATTTTAATGTTTCATAATTACATCACAATTACTGGCCACAAAGTATATAAGACAAATTAAATTTTTTTATCTTCTTCTCTTTTTTTTGTCACAGGAATAGAGAGTGAATTTGGATCTAATTTCATCTTAGCTATGGTGCTCACAAAACAAAGAAGGGCATTAACTAGTTCTTTGTTTTTATTCAATAAGAAAATCCCTTTTATAGTTTGTGCCTTCTGTGAGCCAAACTTTTTGGTATGTGTATATCCCTTTAGTAATTACAATGTGTCAGGACTAGGGATTCCTCATTTCCTCTTTTTCTTGCAGGTTTTAAATTTCTAACCTGTTAAGGAAATTTGTGGACCAAATTCCAAAGGAACTCTTTGTGTAGTCAGTTCTTGCATAATGTGTTTGGTAAACATTCATAAAATGAATTGCTAGGAGTGTTTTAGTATTTGTCAAATAACTGGCCATATCCTATAGAAAGGTAAGGAAACTTAGGCTACATTTCCCTACAGCTTGTACAGAGTTGTGTGACAGGGCGTAGTTTCTGCTTCCAGGGATTGGGGTGGGGGCACCGGGGGTTCAGAGCCTGACAGAATCGTCAGCTTTATTCTGACATAAATCTGAGGATAAGAGGCAAGGATCACTTCTAATGACGTGTGTTCCTTATGCTCTATTATATAGTGTTATTAGTGATTAAGTTGATCTCAACAAAATTTCTAGCAGTGGAATCTTGAAATGCATGTACTAGATTTATGGTAAAATGAGTTTTTTTGGTTTGCTTTCTAGACTAAATATAACATTAGAATAAAGTAGAAGAAATATAAAGGTTCTATTTCCCATTTGTATTTTATTTTTTTGATTTTTTTCATAGTTATTGTTTAAGAAGATTTAAAAAATCACTGCACTTTGGTCAGAAGAATAATAAATATATCTTATAAATGTTTGATTCCCTTCCTGGCTACTTTTATTCAGTAAATTCTTTTTTCTGGCATCATGTTGAAGCGTGGAAAGGCGTAGAATAAAAAGGGCTATAGAGTCCAAAGAAATTTCTTCTTAAATCTGTTCTTCCTTTAAAAATTTTTGAGAAATGTATTTTCTCCATTTTTTTCTGCCATCACCAATGCAAAGTGGTATTTAAGTTTCTTATTATGAGACTTTTTAAAATGCTTCTCATCTTCAGCACATACACTGTTTGCTATACAGGGTTAAATTAGGCAAAATGTTTGACTTTATATAATTATTAATATAATTAATTTTTATATTTAAAGCCATTGGGAATAATAAGGACAATTTATAGATATTCTTATACAGCGGTGGGGCTAAAGTGGGTTTACACTTGTTTGTATGGAAAAAGACATGCAAATCACGATTCTTACAGTAGCTTTATTAGCTCACAACTATAAACCCACTTTTGCCCACCCCTGTGTTATAACAGATTTATTTATTTGTATGTTATGGAATTCACTTATTAATGATGAATTTTCAAACATACTTGCTGTTATAAAAACAAAGTGTTCATAAGTGCTATAACACATTAGCCACCAAAATTTGTATTGACATTATCTTGGTTTCTTGGAAGAGATTGTAATGAATTCTTATCTAGTGTTTCGGTCCAGCCAATACAGCCTTCTGCACTGGGTAATTTAATTAAGCAGCTGTAGTGTGGAGCAAGAGTAAAGACTTAAGGTTTTGAGTGCATTCCTACTCACATAAGTGAAGAAATGCATCAGATGGGGATCTAAATATTTATGTTGGTATTGTGAAAGCAGCCTTAATTTAAGGATTTTAAGAAGACTGTTGAGACTAGGTGCTTTGCTTACTTCCATCAAATATCTTTCTGTAGCATAATTACTAAATTATGAAGCTCTGCTTTTTGTTTGCTTTTTAAGTAGAAAAACATGTTAGCAATATTGAGTTTAGGAGCTGATTTGATTGAGACACATCTAACTTTACTAGTTAGGTCATTCCATTTGTTAAAGATACAGTCACCAAGAAGTTTTTGACTTTCTTGAAGACCCCAGTGGAAGCTTTGCCATTTAAAAAATTTACATTATTTCCATTCAGTGATGCTGGATATATATGAATATTTAGTAAATAATCCCAATAAATTTTGTGCTATGGCCTTTGCTGTTTGCTGGTTCAGATTTCTGTCCTCTCAAGTATATTGAACATTTAGCATGTGGGTCCTCACATAGCAAAAGCAGAATTCATGATCCAGGAGGATTTTCTGCTCTGTGTGTTATGTTTGGGTGTCTTGAATTAAGCAGAAAGCATGACTTGATCCCAGTCCTCCAAGAGTAATCTGGAGTGAGGTACAAGTAGCCCGTTCCATTACCAGCCTGCAGCATCAATTCCTTGTCTCTCTGAGGGGAAATTGGCAGCAGGCAAGCAGTGTGTCTGTCTCAGGATGCGGTGGTGTCTTTTGTGGCTTTGTGGCTTTGCCCATGTAATTTAAGTGGTTGTCTGACATTTCAGTGGTCCCTGTAGATAATAGTGGCTGAAAGTATTGGCCAGACGAGGTCAGCATCTTTTCCCTGGAGGTTTGGTCTTTCATCTTCAAACATATTAACTGCACCAGCCGCAGAGCTGCAAACACATTCTCTGCCTTTCAGGAAATTTCTGTCAGAATCTAACACTCTGATGCAGACAGACCTTCAGATGTCTTATGTTGGCTAATCTCAGTCATTCTTATGTAGTCTCCTTCACTTCTCCCTAGCCTACATGCATACTTAAGCTAAAGTAAGTAATCCTTCAGTCTCAGTATTTTTTTTTAATGAAAGAAAGAAATGAAGCTCATTTATTGTGTAACAAAGGAAAAAGCTAAAAATGGTTCTAATCTCCTATCCCTTCTTTCCCTCATCACAGACTCCAGTGTAAGAACTCTCTTGGATCCAGGCCTGCTTTCCTTTGAGTGGGTGTGGTGGTTGTGGTTGTGACGGTAGTCTGCACCTCGGTCAGGCTCTGCAGGTCACCATCTTTCCCGTTGAGAGCCGAAGGACAAAGCTGAATTTTTGGCTACCACTCTATACCTAGTGTCAGCCATACTGACTGCAGGCTGTTCTGCTCAAACCTGATGGGATCCCTGCTGTCCCCATTCATTAGAGCAGAGCCTGCTTCTCTTGGGTCCCTTTTTTCCAAAGAGGCTTTTCTTCCATGACTGCGTCCTCATAAGGCCCTGGTGTAGAAGAGGGCTTAATTACTTTCTCCTATTTAGGGAGATAAGGTTATAGATCAACCCTTCTCCAGGTGTGGTTCTTTCTGTCACAGAAAATTGTTTGCTACTTATGATACACTTTCAGGTAACTATGCAACTTCCTAACACTGGCCTTTGATCCCTTAACCAACCAGAGGAAAAGCATCTGCAGGGGTACCACTAACATTCCACCCTACAGGTAGACCATGGAAGCAAACTTTAAGAGCTGTCTTCTGCATGGCAGAATCAAGCAGCTAAGCAGCATACCATATAAATAGCATATGTATGCCCATTTGGTTGAGTAGCCACATTTAAAAACAAAGTAAAATTCAAATAAAGCCATGTATATGAGCTTTAAGGAATGCTCATATATCAATATTATGTGTTAGGAGGTTTCCTGGGAGAAATGTACTTTCAGTAGCTGCTTCTAAGAAATTAAGGGAGTCCTGGTTAGTGTGGCTCAGTGGATTTGAGCACTGGACTGCAAACCAAAGGGTCACTGGTTCAATTCCCCATGGGGGCACGTGCCTAGGTTGCAGTTACTAGGTTTCAGGTTGAGAGTGCCTGGAGTGACTCATGCAGACCCCCGCCATTGGGGGCGCATGAGAGTCAACCGATGCATCTCTCACACATTGATGTTTCCCTCTCTCCCTCCTTTCCCGTCTCTCTAGAAATAATTAAGGGGGGAAATTGATACAGTGGACTAAAGATGGACTTTTAAGAAAAGCCCTCAATTGAATAAGTTTCCTTGCTAGTTTGTAGACACTTGTAGTCCTTTGAGGACGCCAGGTGGAACTGGGCCTCTCATAGCCACCTGGCTCCAAGGGCTTCCAGAGCCAGAGGTGAAAGGCATTGAGTGAGTGCAGCAGTTCATCCTTAGAAGCACAGGGAAGCACAGGGCTGTTGCACATGGCTCGCCCTAGGTTTTTCATTAGTTCTAAACAGTAAGTCCTCACGTAACTTTAAGTGAAATAATATATAATGAAATCAATTTTAATATAGGCTAAGTGATAAAAACAAGAGTCAAGTTCCAGCATTATAAATAGATGATACTGAATGAAACGTTTTTCAAGGACCAGAGTATCTATGGTGATGAGGCTGCATCACAATGCACTTGTCAAAATGGAAACCTTTTTGCTTTTTAATGATCAGGTAACGTGCACAGTAGGCAATACCGCTATCCTGTCCTCTACTGTGACAGTGGTCAAGGTGGACACATTATTTGGAGGGAAAATGCTCAAGTTCAATGGCTTTCAGATTGGGTCAAAATGTTTCCACATCAAAACAACCAAGTTAAAATAGCTGCATTGAAATACCACAGGTGTCAAATGTGTCAGAAAGCAGAGACTGTATTTCTTCCTCTGTTGAGGGTCTTCACTTTGGTCTGGATCAGTGCTGGCAGCTGCTGCTACTGTGTGCCCATGGAAGCTTCAGAAGTTTAGGGGATGGAATGGGACAGGATGAGGGTAGGGAAAGTAAAAGCATTTGAATGAAAAAGCAAGAGTTGGTTCAGTCCAGTTCTACTTCATACATATGGCTTTTGGAAGAGCTTACTTTAATTCTACCCATAATCACTCCCACCAAACACATTTCTTAACCTGCCCAAAAGTCTTCATGATCATAGACCACATTCCCATTTCTCCCCATAAGTATTTAGTTGGTGAAAATAGATTTCAGGAATGTGACTCCTTAACACCATCTACTTTCATTGATCCTTATGGTTTGAGTTATTCAATAGCTATTTCTGAGTTTAGGATAGTGTATTTGACTTAAGGAAGTAGCTGTTTAATTTACAATCATCGACTAAATCATTGTTTTATATGACAATACACAGATTTTGGCCAATTGCTGAAATAATAGCTAGATGCATGATAGGTAGAGGAGGCATTATTACAGTCTGTGATTACATTCATGCAAGATCTGCATCTTAATTTAGCTGACTGGTCACCCTAGCAAGCGAATTTCAGAGGTGCTAACCCTGTGACTGAGACCAGAGAGTTTGTTACAAGAAATCTGTGTATTCCTTAGGCAGTATGTCTGTCACCAGATCGGGAGATGGCACTAGCACTGAAATAATGCAGTCACACAAAAAAATTCGCTGGCCTTTCATTCAAAGTGTGTTTGAGTGGTTTATTAGGGATTCAACAATCAGTCATGCACAACCCTTGCCTTCAACGTGCTTACCAGCTCAAATCTAGTGGTTTCTTAACTGTATTGTGTTTCTATATAGTACTTGTAATGCTTTCATGCAAACTCTTTTACCTCTGTGATCTCAGTTAGTTTCCCCAACAAGGTGGGTTAATATGGCAATTCTCCTGTTTCGTGGATGATTAAACCTCAGTTTCAAGTCAGTTGGCCTATCTGCATACTTCAGCCAAATGAAGTATGCCTTGATTCTAAGCATTCTGTGTTTAAATTAAAGGCCTTTACTGCTAATTAGTTGCAAATCTAGAACTGGAACCCAGGTCTGTCTCTTGGCTTTTCTAACAGCCCTTGCTGACTGCCTGTAATAAAGGCCAATTTTAGGTGACTTCTAATGCCCCATCATGCTGGCCTATTAACTCTCACTTATTTTCTATTCCACATGTGTGCAATTTGTGAAGTTACTTTGCTTGCTTATTGTTGCTTTCCC